CAATCTAATAAAACGAGTCTAAGGTAGTAAAATATAAACCCTTGTGTTAAAAAAAGCGAATTCTTCAATAAAAAGGAATTTATCCATTTAAGAAAAGGATAAAAAGGAGAGGAGAAACAAACTTCAAAATATACAAGGAGTAAATTTCCTACGACTTCTGAAATAATGAATATATATTTTTCAGTTTTGGAAAAGTCATATGTACACACGAATAACACTGGGGATATCAGTTTTTGTTGAGTTAGATCTGACGCTTGTTTTTCAATAATTTTTGACGTCTGAATTTGAGGATAACCGCAGATTTTATCAATCAAAAAAATTTTTTTTAAATATAGGATAACTACTACGCTCCAAGATTTTCCGGCTAATTAGCAAGGTGGCTGAGTAAAAAAAGTAATATAATACTCATGTACAGTCTTCATCCGTTGACAAAGCTTTGCCAAATTGCTTCATGAAACCCAAATTTTTTGTGCAGAAGTGGAAATATAATGTTCTTTCTGGGTGATGGACAAGAACACAATATTTGTATAAATTATTATATTATATATTGTTATTTTCACAATGGGGTGTTGTACAATGTTTGGATCACCAGGTCTCCGGTCTCTTCTTGGCGGCCAATTCGACAGCATCCCAGCTAGGGAGCGCACTAGCTCTGCTCTCCCAGCTACACAAAAAGCAGTGATAGGATAGTTTGTGTATTTAAATTATCGACCAAGTAGGTAGCAGACCATTCGAAGGTCAATACAAATGATCCCTTAGTGATGTGAATTACGAAATATCAATAACTTTCTTTATGTCGTCATATTTTTCACGCAAACTGAATGCCCAGTTGAAACCTAACCAAATAAATTTACAGTGTCCCTTGCGTTATAGTGTAAAATTCTCAATTGTTCTATTAGACCACTTACATAATGGCAAAATATAAATCGTCCACCCTGAATTTATTGCAAAAATGCCCTTTATCGTATTCAAAAATATGACACCTAGGCACTCTTTTCAAGCGTTTTTTTCATTTAGTCGTGATGCTACGAACTCTGAGGCTTCTTTGGGCAGTCCCAAGTCTTGTACCAAATCATTTACGTTTTTCTGATCGAATACCTCGCGTTCGTGGTCATCTTCTATTTTGAAATCTTCTTCGTTGGAGGCGCTTTCATCCGCACCTTATCCGTATTCCCCTTCTTCCAAAGAATGGAAATTCATTGAAAACTCGCATGGGGATTTTAACTAAATGCGGCACTGGCCGCATTGCCAACAGTAAACTGGGATACTCTATCTTGAAGTATTTTTGTCTGTTATATCCTTATGTTTTTACTATACAAATGTCATAATCATTTGAATGATCTTGAAGCTTGTGTCAAACCATAAGTAAACCAAATCATAAGTAAACAAAGGTTTAGCGCATTAGCTCTGCTGTCCCAGCTACATAAAAGCACTTTGTGTAGTCAAGTTTTCGACCGAGTAGGAAGCAGACCATTTGAAGGTCAATACAAATTATCCTTTAGTGATGTGAATTACGAAATATCAATAACTGTCTTTATGTCGTCATATTTTTCACGCAAACTTAATGCCCAATTGAAACCGAACCAAATAAATTTGCAGTGTCCATTACGTTATAGTTTAAAATTCTCAATTCTTCTATTAAACCACTTACATAATGGAAAAATACAAATCCTCCACCTTGAATGTAGTTGAAAATTGTCCTAAATCGTATTCGAAAATATGATACCTAGGTACTCTTTTCAAGCGTTTTTCTCATCGAGTCGCGTGATGCTACAAACTTTGAAGCTTTTTTTTTGGACAGTCCCCAGTCTTATACCAAATCATTTTTTTTCTGATCGAAACCTTACGGACTGAGTCATCTTGAATTTCGAAATCTTCTTCGTTGGAGTCGCGTTCATCCGCACCATAGATCCTCATTTCCCTTTTTCCAAAGAGGAAAATTCATTGAAAACTCGCATGGGGATTTTAACAAAATGCGGCACTGGCCGCATTGCCGACAGTAAATTGGGATACTCTATTTTGAAGTTTTGTTTGTTATATCCTGATGTTTTTACTATACAAATGTTATAATCATTTGAATGATCTTGAAACGTGTGTCAAATCATAGGGATACCAAATACAAGGTTAGATCAATGCGTAAAGCATTGATCAGCACACAGTTTACACCCTTTTTTATATGTCCATGCTTTATTTTGACCACCAAGTTTCACATTGAAATAGGCAAAATATGTTTGTCGGACAGAAGTACTGATGCTTGTCAATTGACTGATAATGATAGAACAGCCATATATATTTATAATAATAAATCGGCACCTATAAAACGAACGTAACGTAATAGAAGAAAAGCAAGAACAGATGTGAAATCAGCATGCCCAATTCTATAGAAAACAGCTAAAAAATCTAGCTCAGCATAAATTGAGTTTCAAATTGTACCCCAGTGTAATAAGACGCTTTCCAGCAGCAGCTTGAACCTCACTCACGTCAGACGTCGATTATTTCTGTCGTTCACTGTCTATGCAAATACGGCGGATAATTTAGTCATTATATATTCGCCACGTTAATTTTTTTCCCAAGAAATGACGGACCTGGTAAGAAACCTTAGGTATACCAACCATAAATATGCAAATAGCACGTAGTTTCGTGTACGGTTGTCATGCGTGTCGAGTTGTGGTGTACAGCGAGACGAGTCTTCCTTCAGATTTCATTCCCGCCGTTGACGTTGTTTAGGCAAGGGCCATAATCTCCTCGGACACTCGAAGCAAACACAAAATCCCCTAAGAATTTTACTGCCAATAAAGAGACGGCGGTAGCGTAAAGGGGAAAGCTGTTGAAACTCCAAGCTTTTTTGCGTATAACGGCCCGAGGTAATCAGACAATGCCTGGGTCATCGTGTTTTTTGTCTCATCTCATCAGCCACAGAAAGAATAAACAGTTATACAATGATAGCCATGTCATCATATGCAGCAAACAATTAAGAGACTTTACGGGAATTTTTTATTTTTGGAAACTTATTGCTTGTGGCTATTGGATAATATATTATATGGCATTCGATTTCATAGGTGGTATTGATTCGGAATCAACTGAATACGTACGATGGGTCAGAAGTTTGTACACACAACTGTACATAAGGTTCGCTCGTTTGCGATGTTTGCCCAGTCCAGCCAATTACCGCTGAGCCGCGCGCGTCTGGGCTAACGGCAACGAGCCGTCGTACACTCCCACAGTCGTTAGCCCTTCCTAGTATACAGAGGAAAAAATCCCAAGTAAACTGAGAAGCAAAGTGAAGTAACGCATGCAACAGTTAATGTCCTCGACTGGCAGAAAACGTATATTGGATTTCCTCTTGAAAATTGTTTCCTCGACTAACGGGCGATCATGGTATTCTTTATTGGCAGCTCTATTTGTGACCTATATCTGAAAAATTAATTGGAAATCATCTATGGCACAACCATTTTCAATCTAAGATATAATGAATTAATTAATAGCAGTTAGAATCGACGATAAATTTTTTGTTATTATTGATATTATAGATTATCGTCTTATTATAGATGATATTCTAATCTAATAAGGCAGTTTAAGAAATCAGTATTATTATGGATAATATTTTAAGGTGATGAGGCAGATGAAGAGATACGTATTATTATTTTGGATGTCATGTTAATCTGATTACCATTAATTTAAAGGAAGAGAGAGAAAAAATTTTTTGTACGAATGTATATTCAAGTTTGTTTTATTACACAACGCTTTACAAACGCACCATATAATGTACAGTAATAGGACTTCTCATTCCTTAGTTACTTTCTACCAATATACAATCAATGTTGTACATATAACACGGACCATCTGAGGGTAGAAATGACGGACCGGAACAACTGAATGAGATACAACCGCGTCAGATGACCACCGCATTAACTCAACAAAAACATGCATATATTATAAAAAATATAACTCAGTACTCACTGCAGTGAGTGACAGAGAGCGCATTTTCTCGTCGACGAAAACTTGAGGTCACGGACTGACTCGCAGACGGACAGACAGACGGACATGACGAGCACAATAGTGCATTTTTTTCATAAATGAGAAAATGTGCTAAAACAAGTAATTCCTATAGCTTCCAATAGTTTATAAAAATGTACAGGATTTGTCGCCAGGACAAGATTTGTTATTGCACAAAGTAGATGAGTTAATTAGAAATTAGGTCTTTCCAACAATTAATTAATCACACGCTTTAGCAATTCACGTGCGGATTAACTTGCTGTTTACCAAAATTTTTGTTATTCCATATGTTGGACATACGACTAAACTTTGGATACTCTGGTTTTGCTGGTGTAATTTTCTTTGTAAGCAATTTTATTCTCTCAAATTTCTTATTTAACCTGTTTTATCATAAATGTTGTGGTAATTGAAATAAATAGGCTCCTGAGAAATATTAAAATCCGAAAAATCGAGTGGGCGACACGAGTAGTCATGGCAATTAATAAATATTTTACATTCCGAATTCTAATGACATTCAAATTATAGTACGATGAAAATCACCAGAAAATTCAGACGACAAAATACATGATTTAATGATAATCAGCATTTAATAGAGCATTCAACATTAATTCACATTAACCAAACATGGATTTCTATGTGAAAATTTCAATTCAAGCGAACGAATATACTGTTCCCTAACCTGGAAGTAGAACAATTAATACATTTAATTTTAAAGAAAAATGTTCAATTATTTACAAACTAGGTAACTTCAAGTATTATATTAATTTGTTTTGTCTAGATCTCGATTTCCACCTAACAAATTTACAAATACTAAACTTAGACTTCATGTATTGCTTAGGAGCATATAAAAAATTGATTCATTTGTATTGATCGTTTTGCATAGCTGGCACGCTTAAAAAAATTCGCTCACAGACGAAGAAAAATCGGCAAAAGTTAATGAATTATTTAATAAATGCCAGGATATGAATGAAATTTGCATCGTGTTCGTCAAAGTCTGCTTGCTGTTGTACTTATGATTTTCAGTGTAACCACTTTAATGGATGTGCAAAGAAATGGCACGCTCAGGGATACATACATAACGCGGCTCCCACAACCATATAACGCATCACATATTCCAGACACCGAACACTTACATCGAACACTGGACGGATAACGTCGAACAGTTTCCATAACAACAACTTCATCGCTAAAATGTTCCTTCAGTTAGCATTTATATCTAATAAACACCATTAATGCAGAGCTCCATCTAAACGTCCGGAAATTGTGTTTAATCTTACAAACCTCCTTGCTACTCTGCATATCAGTGCGCACAACATGAATATCGTAATTTTCATGGAAAAAAATTTGAATAGATATTTCTGAACCGAGTCTTCTATGACTAAAGGAATGCACGAAATAAATATGGGGAAGTTTCATACCGGAAGGACTTGTTCCAACTTGAAGTAACTTGTCGTAATTTGAAGAACGTAAAAAATTTGAACATAAGTTCATATCCAGGGTTGGCCCTATTTGGCAATTTTTGGCCTTTTTCATATCCAAGGCCCGGTGTGCGTCTCGAGGACGTGGGCCGCGTCAGGACGGCCCATGACGCGCAGGACGTTCAACAGATCCGTGACTGCGGACGCCTGCCGGTGCCGTGCCTCCCACAGGTCCAGGATGTGCTCAGTAGGGCTGTTCTTGCACGCAAAGTAATTCAGGTACCTGAGAGAGGAAAATTGACCATTGAAAAAATAATCATGGTAACCAATATCATATTTTAGGAGGAGATGTCTTCGTCATTTATTCGAAGCTCACGAATTAGAATAGAACCTCCACTGCCATGCAAGTTAGTTAGTTAGTTTAGTGGCCAAATGTTTACTAGCGCTTCAGCTATTTAGCTATCTCGCACCGAAAGTCAAGATGAACATCACCATAGAGGTTGAAGGTCTCAATTATTCATCACCCACAAGGGGCGGAAGGTCTCAGAAGTCCAGCCCGCTGAAGCTGGCTCGAGAGAAGCAGCGTTAGCATCTCAAAGAGACGAAGTGACAAGGAGGGACAGGTGAAAAGCAACAGAAACGAAGACACTCGAACAAGAGGTCGCTTACACGGGACGTCGGCCGCCCGCACGAGAGAGACAGAGAAGGGAAATGTAAGGAATCCTACCTACATAATAACTTAACCCCACAACTGAGACCTACAGTCAGACACCGCGAGCTCAGCGGTGGGGCGCTCAGGAACAATCCCCCTAGGAGCGCGAAATCCCATAGGACTTCTGACGAGCACAGACACCCGTCAGAATTCCCCCCTGAGGGGACACTGCCATGCAAGTACCTTGGGCGTCAATATAAGTAAAACTTCGAAGAAAAAATAAATATTTGGTCTCCCTGTCACGTCAGTCTACCCCGGGTTACTCTGCTGCATTCTGTTACTCCGAAATACTCTGCCACCGAGGGTTACCCGGTCTCGCCAGTTACCTCGGAGGGCTAACCTCCGACTCATCACACAAACTCCTGGTTCACAATCTAGAAACTAATAGCTAAAAAAATAATGCATGAATATTCATATGTCAATAGTGAGACGTGCAGCGTGTTTCTGAATATATGACATTTAATTTCACTCCTCATAACTTATACTGAATTAATAGTTAATTGACATATCTTGTCCAAACATGCCCATTGCTAGTATCATGTGCATAATGCATGAATACTTCTGTCGATATTGAGGCGCGCGGCAAGCATTTAAAACTAGACCGACGAATTACACTCCTTAGACCAGGGCCGGAATTCAACCCTTAATTGCCAACATAAAAATCCAGTTATCTAGTTGGTTACAACGATATATTATGCGCATCATACAATATTACATGTATAATGCACAATAATATTCGCACCTGTCGACATTGAGACGCGCGGCGAGCATTTAAAACTTAGTTAGTTGAATGCAATAATATATCATATGCATTTAACTATATTACACGTATAATGCACAATAATATTCGCACCTGTCGACATTGAGACGCTTCGAGCATTTAAAACTTAGTTAATTGAATGCAATAATATATTATATGCGTCACAGTATATTACATGTATAAATGTATAATGCACAATAATATTCGCACCTCTAGACATTGATACGCGCGGCAAGCATTTAAAACTTAGTGAGTTAAATGCAATAATATATTATATGCATCATACTATATTACATGTACAATGCAAAATAATAGTCATGTATCACAGTATATTACATGTATAATATTCACACCTGTCGACATTGAGGCGCGCGGCGAGCATGCGCCAGTCGTTGCCGCGCGCGTTAGGAGGGTCGAGGCAGCGGCAGAGCTCGCGACGTACGCGGGCAGGCAGACGTACGGGCCGAGGCTCGCTACTGAGCGCCACTAGTGACGACCCCGCTGATGATGACACTGCGGGGACAAACACCAGTGCTGTGTGGTGAGTATTGTTTACTTGTGTTAGTAGAGTTATATACCATTTATATTACTAGTGTTACTAGGTTTACGTTTATTTTTTTACAACACTTCTTTTTAACTTCACTTCTTGTTTTTTGTCTGTATGCTACAAATCTTATAATCGATATTTAACACAGTTCTACCTGTCCAATCGATCTCAAACTTTGCATACTTGCGTAATGTTGGCGACATTGCATGAATCAGTTGACAGAATAAATAATTTTGATAATTTAGAAAATTTTATATATAAAAAAATTGAAATTTTTTAATATCTGAAAATAAAATTAGAAATTCATTGTACATGTGTAACAACAAAGACACTGGATTGTTTAAAAGTGTTGTCTTCGAAAAGTAATTTTTAAACGCATATTATTATTAAGAGCGTAAATGACAAGTATATTCAGTATACCAGGTGTTCTTTATCTTCATAAGCTAGGAATCGGTAACGGAAAAAATTTGGAGCACTGGAAAATGTGTAGCGTTTTGGAGCAGAAGCTTTTTATAGCTCAAAGGCTCACAAGAAATTAGAATCAAACTAAAAAAATAAGATTCAGATATATCTTAAGCTTAAATAACAGAACACGAAGAGATACATAAATCGATTATGTATCAGAACGTAATATATCTAGAAAATTTGTACTTCCGAGTATAACAACTGGATCTGAATTTTTTATCTGAATCCGGAGATACAAACCTGATATTTCAGCGGAACAATGTTGAAAAAATTCATTCATACCAATAATTTCAAGACATTTTGAAACGAAATGGCGTCGTTTTTCTCACCTGTGGACGGTCTCATCAAGACATGAGCAGGCGAGTCAGTAACGGGCGCGTATGGGAAGTCCGTGTTGATCCTAGCGACCTGACAGCCGCTGGACGACGTCTTCTGCTGCGCGTACACTCGACAAGACAACGTACACGAACGTCCCGACGTCGACGCCCCGTCAACCAGACGCTCCAGCAGGAACGTTGTGGACACCCAGGGCAGTCCTTCGTCACCCCCACACCACAACCTCTCGAAGGAGATCACCTGAACGAGGGACAAGAGGACGGGCGTCAATAAACAGTGGGTTAAGTCGGTATTATTTAGTTTATTTTATTAGCAGTTCGAGATTGTGCTACTGAATTTTAAGCGGAAGTAGTAAGATGAATTAATATTTTATTACAAACAAGTAGTGTGTCCTAGTTGTGGAAATCTAAACAACTAGCGCATAAAATATGTCGCTATTCATCGGCCGTATTTCAGTACATTTTTATGTAATGAAGTATTATTAAATTAAACACAACCGAATCTGTACTAATTAAACGAACAGATCTCTTGAAAATACGTAAGTATCATTCCAACTAGTATTACCAAGACATTATCCAGGGTGGGGTAGAACCGATTGGGCAGTTTTAAGGCGAAATAAAAGAGTAATGGAGGTACACAAAAAAGAAAGTTTATTTTCCTCGAGGTTAGCATAACATACCATTTAAAATACTTATGTTTTGATAACAATATCAGGAAGATGGTGGCCGTTAGTTGCAACACACTGTTGGAGTCGTTCGAGGAAGTTTCCTACAGCACCAGCACTAAATGGCGAGGTATGGCCATAACCTCTGCAATAATCCGTACCCTTAGCTGCAGCTCTAGGGTGTGAGGGCGACTTCTGAACAACCTTTCTTTTAAATGTCTCCAAAGAAAGAAATCGCAAATGCTCAAATCAGGTGACCTCGCAGGCCACTGTAAATCACCCCTCAGAGACACCAGACGTCCGGGAAACATGCGTCTCAAAACATTGAGTGACATTCGGGCTGTGTGAGCTGTAGCCCCATCCTGCTGGAACCACATGTCTCCCAATGCTTCATTTTCAACAATGTTTTCCATCATGGGCTGCAAGAAATTTCGCAACATTGCAGCATAGCGATCGGAATTCACTGTCACGGTTACTCCCTCCTCCGAGAACGACTCCAACAGTGTGTTGCAGCTAACGGCCACCATCTTCTGATATTGTTTTCAAAACATGAGTATTCTAAATGGTGTGTTATGCTAATCTCGAGGAAAATAAATTTTCTTCTTTGTGTACATCCATTACTCTTTTATTTCGCCTCAAAAATGCCCAATCGGATCTGCCCCACCCTGTATTGCGAGTTCGGACATTAATCTGAGTCACGAGTCTGTTACCATTTAATACACAACTCTCTTGTTTTCATCTCAATTCAAGGAAATAAAAGACAACTTCAATTAGAACGCAAGGACATGACAAGAGATCGAGGTGCTGCAAGGACATGACAAGAGATCGAGGTGCTGCAAGGACATGACAAGAGATCGAGGTGCTGCAAAGACATGACAAGACACCGAGGTGCTGCAAGGACATGACAAGAGATCGAGGTGCTGCAAGTACATGACAAGAGATCGAGGTGCTGCAAGTACATGACAAGAGATCGAGGTGCTGCAAGTACATGACAAGAGATCGAGGTGCTGCAAGGACATGACAAGAGATCGAGGTGCAGTAAGGATATGACAAGAGATCGAGGTGCTGCAAGGACATGACAAGAGATCGAGGTGCTGCAAGGACATGACAAGAGATCGAGGTGCTGCAAGGACATGACAAGAGATCGAGGTGCTGCAAGCACATGACAAGAGATCGAGGTGCTGTAAGGATCACAGGATAATGAAGGCCTGTAAGCTCCGCAGTACTCACTTGATTGGTCTGATCTTGAGCAAGTTTCCAGCCCTGCGTAATTTCGTCCAAACTTAAGACAAGGTCTGCACCGTTGTCGTGCAGGTAAAATCTCTTAGGCTTGTCTAATAGGCTTGCTCCGCGACTCCGCTCCAGCGCTGTGATACCTGACAAAAGTTTTTTGAACATTTTACTGATAGATAGGAAACAATTAAGATGTTCTACATTGATAAGAAGGAAGATTTTGTACGCCGCTGACCTAGATTAAACAAAGTTCTCGCCCGACATCATTACAAAACAAAAAAAAAAATGTCCAAAGAAGTCTTTCCCCTTTCGTTGCCATCTTGGACTCCTTTCTCTGTCCACGCTTTCGACAAAAAATTTTCTGCTAGACGCACACAACAACTATTCAAACTTCACTACAAAAACCTATTAATAATTTTTGAAGCTTTGACGGCAATGCCCTTCCTGAGCCCACTCATTAAGCCCACTCGACCATCGAGTGGGTGCGTGACATACATGATGTCTTCACTCATCAGATGCGCGTAACGAGAATTACGATATAAACATTAACTCCTGGACGGATTAAGAAGTAACCTCGGTGTCTCTCACCTGATAAACGTACAACAACAGTCATTATGTCTCATGCAAATAAACCTTATAAGTCTTGATGTTGCACTCTTATGATGTACATAGGCTACGAAGTTTCTCTCATGCGTTGCGAATTGCAACAATTTCGATGTGTGTCTCTGAATGTACGTTTAATATATTAAAGTTTCTCACTTTATTTGTGTATTACAACAGATACGACGTCTCATTCTTAAGGATCTTATAGCAGCTTCTCTAGGCATCTCACTCCTAAGTAATTACTTAATACTTTAGCCTTTGAATAATGTCTGTCTCGACAATCCCCTCTTGGTCGAGGAGCGTATACGCAGCAATGTGTTTTGAACACCAATTTCTCGTACAACACAGAGTGACAACACCCACTTTGAAGTTGCGTTTATTAGTAATCATGAAGTTTCCTTCTTAAGTTTCACATCAGCCGCAATACCTGATCACTAAGAAGATGCAAGTCGATCATTTTGTCTCGCTAGTGCAATGCGTTTCAGAATGCCTCGCTCCACATATACGGATGTTCATACGCCTCACTCTTGAGTTACACATTAATCACTACGACTTTGCTGAGGTGCTCATTAATCACTATGTCTCACTCTTGAAGCGCGCATTAATCACTACGTCTCACTAATGAGGCGCGCATTAATCAATACGTCTCACTCTTAAGGTGCGCCGCAGTGTCGGGCATTAATCACTACGTCTCACTCTTAAGATGCGCCGCAGTATCGGGCATTAATCACTACGTCTCACTCTTAAGATGCGCCGCAGTATCGGGCATTAGTCACTTTCACTACGTCTCACTCTTAAGGTGCGCCGCAGTATCGGGCGTGACGTGAAGTGTGACGGTCATGTGACCGTTCATGTCGGGCGGTGGGGCAGCCGCTACGACCCTCAGGGCCTTCACTGCCGGGGAGGTCCCAGCGCTCTCCCCCAGCAGCACGAACTGCTGCAGGCGCTCTGTCATCAGGTACGCCTGATACCAACACCGGTGCAGTGTAGATTAGGATTAATGGTTTAAGTAAATGGGAATAGTTTGATTAATAATCCAATAAGTATTAGTTGTAATTTGATTATTAGCTAAAATTTCCCATCCTCTCGCACGTGCAGTAAATTTTCCGCTGTTAGCTGCGACTGATGGAAGCGACATGAGCACAGCGATTGGACCTGCATTTATATTATCAATTTTTTTACAGAGGTCAAAGTGATATTGTAGATTTATTTTATTTTACTTTTGACACTATAACTAAGAAAATTACTCCAATAATATCTTCAATTTCTGACTTTTTCATACACTAACCTAATGATGTACAAGCCTTATGAAATACTAAATATAAATAACGCATCAAAAAACAATGACAGCGGCAAAAATGAGTATTATTCAAATAGCAAACAATATTACCATTACCTAATGAAAGAGCAAGGAAACATAACCTTGTTTTCCCACCTGCTGTCCGTCGAGCTGCGTGTAGACGGGCGTGTCCACCCTCTCTTCCCCGAGGGTGATGAGCTTATGCCAAGACTTCTCAGGAGACGCTGGCGAGTCCTGGCAGGTGTAGAGGTGTATCCTCCACGCCGTGTGTAGCACTGACGAGCTGTGCTCGAATGATAGGATAACTGGCTTCAGGAGCTTCACTGATGACGGTCCGCAGCATATGACTGGACTCAGCAGCGTCTGTTAAATAAAGACAAGACGGGACTCAGCAATGTCTGTCAAAGAAAGACATGAGGAGACTCGGTAATGTTTGCAACAACAGACAAGACGGGTTTCAGCAGTGTGTGTCAACGAAAGACAAGTAGAGACTCCCAATGTATGTCATAGAAAGACAAAAGGAACTCAGTAATGCCCGTCGACAAAAGATAAGACGGGACTCTGCAAGTAGCCAACGAAAGACAAGACGGGACTCAACAGTGTCTGTCAACGAAAGACAAGACGGTTTTCAGCCCTGTCTGTCAAGGAAAATGAAGACGGGACTCAGCAGTGTCTGTCAGCGGAAGAAAACTAGCTTCATTTCAAAATTGTTGCTTGAATGGTCGATTTAAGGACACTTCAGGGGAGACAAATAACTAGAACATTTATTCATTACCTGAACAACTTCAGCCGATCGATTGAATTTTTCTGATAAAATAAAAACCAACTCTGTCACGTTTTTAATTTTTAACTTAATATTTTATCTGTAAGTATTAAACTGATCAAAGAAAGTTATCGCCATTATCCGTACGATATCGCTCAATTAAAAACAGAGAGTACGTTAAAAAACAATGAGTAAATTTTAAACCAATTGGAAGCAATTGAACATAAGTTTCAATGCTGGAAGTGTCAAGCATATGCAATCCATTGTATATAAAATTCGGAAAAATTTCTTTTCAGGCACTGATAAATCTATAACTGGAAACTGTAAATGTAAGTAATTAACTTTTGCGCTTTTGAATTATTTATAAAATCTGGCACACTTGACTCACTTGTCGCTGCGTTAGAGGTAGAGACACGTTGAGGCGTAACAAGACGCCAATGAAGAGCTTATAGCTTGTGTCTTGTGGGATGGCGCCTTCTGGCACAGTCAGTGACACTCCATACTCTGGTACCACTAATCTACCTCCAGCATCTCCAACCATCTCCCATACCACCGTGTCGTCTCCCTCGCTGCCGCCGCCCCCTGCTATTCCTCCACTAAATATTAAACTATCCTCTGCTTCTGAGTTGGTGCTTGTGTGAGAGTAACCTGAGGTAGAGAAGGATTGAGAGATAATTTAAAGGTATTTGTTGAGTGACGGATCGAGGGGTATTATGTGCATAATACATCAGGTATATGTAAATATATTTCAATTCCATTTACACTCATTAACTAATCTATAACCAGACATTGTGTCGCTATTAAGCCTAAGACAGAATATGATTCCGACTTAAAATTGTCTAGATTTACCTGACGAGTCGCTAGCGTAGGAAAGAGGAGACGCGCTTCTGCCAGATTTCTGTAAGGAACTTTCAGGCGAATGATTGTTTCGGGAGGGACCGGCACCAAACCCGTGCACCCGCGTCACCGTGTTGGAGGCCGACGGGAGCAAATGAAGCCCCTCGGTCGGGGAAGGTGAATCCAAAGATGACCTGATCAACGGCAAGTCGTAAAGGTGTTCCGAGGGAGGCACTGCGTTCTCCGACACTGATCCAGAATCGCCAGGTACCGGAGTCGAGTAATGGGCGCCACTGTCTCTTGATGATTTGGCGTCAGTATTCGGTAGTGATGCCACGGCGGCAGAATATACTGTTCGCTCGACTATTCTTCCGCTGGCCAATGTGTTGAGGGTGGCGTTGATGCCGTGGGTTAGGTCCGGACCGAATACGTAAGATTTCTTTTCGGCTGTACCTCCGGCGTAGAAAGGAAGAGGGTAATCTGTTACGGGGAAAAGTTACTTGCAGGAATTACTTAACAATAGCAAAATTTGTAACGACATGGTTTCTAAAACGACACATACGGCGTTATTATTTCATATTTGACAGTTTTATTTATGTTTATTACAACCAGCGTCAAGGGAATTATAATTGGAAGGGCCAGGTGTCGAAGGCTTATTTATTTGTGCATGGGATAATCTCTAAAAATGTAAATGTTTTTGAAACACGCGAGACGCGTTAATTAATTATCAAAAGAACAATCCGTTGACCGATGATGTGACCGTGTCGTCCCCCACGCACACGCGTCCCCCAAAGAGGGGGGCGGGGGCGTCACACGCGCGGGAGCTGCGCTGGGTGCAGTCGGGACCACATGTGGACCACTCTCCCCACGCCGACCACGCGCCGTCCACAGCTATATAAAATCAACCAAAATTCGCTGATACCTAAATTCATACAAATTCATTTCCATTTATCCGACACGTAAATAAAATTCATCTCACTCTTATTTTTGCTGTTTTTTCTGGCACTTTCTTAAGCCCCCTCAGTTAAATGCAAAAAATACGGATTTTTCCGTTACGATGTTTATATAAGTCAATAACTGATGTATGCGTTAATAAAACGAAATTTTTAATTGTTTTGTGACGATTTTTACCAAGCCACGAACTGTACAATAACGACCATCCAACAGCTAGCTACTACAACCTGTTTAGTATCGACCATTATTATTCTTAATTTACATTATTATTATTATTTGTGCATGGGATACTCTCAAAAAATATAAATGCATTTGAAACACACATGACGAATTAATCAATTATCAAAAGAACAATCCGTTGACCGATGACCACATCCACATTTATCACAATCTAATTCTGAAATTTTTACCCAAATACAATAAAGCTTGAAGATGATCAAAATAGCTACTCATTATTAATGGAATTTTAACAAATAAAATAACGAATTTAACTGACCGGACACAGCGGCTTCGTAGAGCACTCCGTTTTGCCTGCTCTTGGATGTGTATTTCCTAAGGACGAAGAAGAAAAGCAGCAACACCAGCGGCACCAACACCGCGAGCACCACGATCAGGGAGATGTCTTGTCGCACCGCCTCGTCCCGAGCTATTATACGATGAAAAATAAAAATATAATGAAAAACTATTATACAATGAAAAATAAAAATATAATGAAAAACTATAATACAATAAAAAAATAAAAATACAATGAAAAACTTATCTATAGTTGTTCAAATTATTATATTTGACAATAATGGTGAGAATTGAAATGCAGTGTTCACTAATAATACACGAGTTTCTTCATTTGAGGCAATTGAGCTTCTCTAATTTATTTACTGGATTTGAAGTTTTAGGGTTAGCCATGATCGGATTAGGGACAACGGCCTTTGAAAAAACGCAATTTTTTAATCACAACAATTTCCAAATACTATTAATCCCGGGCAACATCGGGATAACTTTTTAGTATACTATGAGTTTTATGAAGTTGTGCAGGAGCGTGAAACTTGGGATCAAGGCAAGGTACTTTATAACAAACAGCTGCCAACGCCACTTGGCCGCGCTCGTTCATACTGTATTTTACATATTCAAAAACTATTTGAGGCATAAAAAAAATTATATTTTGCTTTGTCCCGGTTCATTAACATTGATATTATAAATGTTAACGTTTTTGTAATCAGGATGTACAGAAATTAACAAAAATTTGCTAACCTACCTTTCTTAGTGAAGCCTTCTCCGTACATGTTGGGTTCTGCAAGTGAAAATTGAAACAGTACCATGATAAGAAATAATTTGAATTTGTGTTTATACCTTATATGTTTGTACCTTCCACTCATATTCACACCATTTACCGCAGTCATGCACTATTCGAATCAGAAAACAATATATACTTGCGCAATTTTCTCGGTCCATGAGTCTTGAAGGGTCTATGATCAATAACATGACTGACACGCAATCTCCAAATTTTCTTCGCTGTTTTATTAATTGACACAATCTATAATGTTTAAGATATTACAGTTGTATAGCACCAAGTTACTCTATGTAATTTGTTCTTATTTTAGCTTAGGATTAAGATATGAATTCAGCGGAAAAAGTTTACTCACTCATGCACATGCCGCCAGTGCAGTTGCGCGTGACCGTGTCGTCCCCCACGCACACGCGTCCCCCAAAGAGGGGGGCGGGGGCGTCACACGCGCGGGAGCTGCGCTGGGTGCAGTCGGGACCACACGTGGACCACTCGCCCCACGCCGACCATGCGCCGTCCACAGCTAAATAAAATCAACCAAAATTCGTTGATACTTAAATTCATACAATTTCATTTCCATTTATCCGAAACGTAAATAAAATTCGTCTCATTGTTATTTTTGCTCTTATTTTCTGACACTTTCTTAAGCCCTCGTCAGTTAAATGCAAAAACACCTATTTTTCCAGGACAATGTTTATATAAGTCAATTACTGATGTATGCGTTAATAAAACGAAATTTTTAATTGTTTTGTGACGATTTTTACCTAGCCACGAACTGTACAACATCGACAATCCAACAGCTATCTACAACCTGCTTAGTATCGACCAATATTCTTCTGAAATGGAAACTTCAGCGCGCCGTAGAGAGTAATCCTTGCTGCATTCAGGTTTTCATCAGTTATATCTATGTGATTTTAGCCATAATTTATGAATAAATCATCTCATGTGATAGGACTGATCGCTGTAAATTCCACATTACTCAAATAGATGGAAGTATCACATCTGTGTAAATTTGAATAGTATATCAACTCTTTGAAATTGCTATCAGCTCCTTAAACGAAATCATACAGTAGCATATCATTCGGTAATAATTACATGAAGGTGATGGGAATAAATCGAATCTAAACTTTCTTCATCAATACCCACCGATCGTAGAAACTAATTTAGACAGCCTAGATAAAATTCACTAGATAGCCTAGATATAATAGATGTTACATAAATTATATTACACATAAATAATTGCTCTGTCTGCTCACTCAGACATAGAACGAACGAAAAATTCGCAGCAAAGAGAGCTTCCGGTGAGCCGCTCAAAGATCTGTATTTAAATATTTAAATTTTTGCATTGCATTGCTCTAATAAAGTTTCAAACACAATTTTACAATAAAGTTGAAAATACTAGGCTTATACAAAATACAGACTTATAATATAATAATTAATAATATTTATTATAAATAATATAATAAATATTATATAAATAGGCTTATGAAAAATTCATATCATAATACGAATATACTTATTCGTAATGTAAATGCAAAACTCACCCGGACACGGCACTCCGGTCGCGCACTCTTTTTTCTGGAAGGCTGGGTCGCGACATGCGGGGCCGCCGGCCGCGGGGGGAGCCGTGCAGGTGCGGGTGCGTTTCTGGTGCCCCGTGCCGCACTCAGCGCTGCAGGGCGACCATGCTGACCACTGTGTCCATGTGCCGTCCTCTGAAGGGTTTAAATGGAATTTCCATTTGCATTTGGCCCTAACCAAGAGGTGAATTTATTACCCAGAAGTTATACGCAAGTTCGGCGTCAGGTACTTTATTATAATTTATTATTTTCGCACCAAATTAGCCTTTGATTCAAAGTGTTTGAAATTTTGCATATCCCATGTTTTTGAGTTAGAACAATTTCTGTTCAATTAACTTAAGAATTTATTGAGCTCTAACTTATAGTACTTTATAAACGATTTTTTTCTAATTTCATCTAACTTTTGTCGAATAATATTACAGTCTCGGTAGGGTATAATAAATTTAAACTCACTGTAGACTTTGAGAAACGCTGGATCAGAAACGCGCTTTGCGGCGACGTTTTCTGCGACGCACGAATAATTCCCGACGTCGTCTGGCCCAGCAGAGAGCAGTAGCAGCGATCCCTCCGACGACACCCTGATTCGTTTAAATACATTGAAACGTTAATGTAAATTTCAATTCATTTCCTAGGAGATGAATATTTTGAGAGAGAAGTGATCTATAAAGAAGCAATGCAAAATGTGTAATCACTGTTCCAAAAAATATAGCAGGTGAACGCGAAAATCATGCTATTTTGATCCAGTTGAATAAAAAATAAAAGCAATCACTTAAAACTTGCTTGCAGGTAAGTTAACATACCATCCAATCTCATTGAATCAACCATTGTCTATAGAAAAACTCGCTGAAGCCGTTAGGTCTATCTCGCACTTAACACTTGTCTGTAGTTGGACTCGAGGTTGAAGTCGATGGTCCTGCCATTGACTCAACACTTGCCTGTAGTTGGACTCGAGGTTGAAGTCGATGGGCTTGTCATTCTTGAGCCAGAGGGTGGACGGCGGAGGTTGTCCCTCCGGCGGCAGGCAGCGCATCTCCACTTGGCTCTCCAGTGGCACGGACCGCGAGTACGGCGGCTCGAAGAAGTGCCGACGCAGATCTGTCAAGCAAATCAGATTGTTCCCTAAAAGTATTGAGTGAAAATTCATTTCAATTTTTTTCTATCTTTATCTTATCTAGTGGACTCAGTAAAATTGATCCCAAATTTATAATTGAACCATCTTTAAGCAAAATTGGCAAAGGAAACAGCTAAGAGCAGCCAAGTTTAAAAGCTTCCACTTTAAAGTCTCCGTGGTCATGATATCAAGAATCTAATGGGATCTTGGCCTCTCGATCGTGCACGGTTGCAGCAAGAGAGCAGAAGAGAGAGGGAGTCATAGAGTAAAATCCACATCTTATGAGAGGAACGGCCACTTGTGCATGACAGAGTGTCCGTTCTCGAGAAGCTGGAGGAATGAGGACGATAATTTGCCCTACGTAGTGTAGATGGTAGCGGAACGAAGCGGTGCTTTCTATTGCCACAAAAGGATTTGGCCGGACAGTAAAGGAAGCCCTGAACCAGTTATCATGGAGCATCATTTCAGGGCGCTCAATAATCATCTGATCGGAACTGATCGACGGCTCTTTATGTGAACGACTCAACTTGAAGCCTTATTTGGTGCATAGTTCCTCTGGAAATAGCCTTGCAACCCGAATGCTAACTGCCATGCAGGCTTCAAAGTTCATAATTTAAATGGTACCTAAGAGGCATCGTAGCAAAATGTAGAGAATATAAGAGGGGAAAAGGCGATACAAGTCATTCAGACCATGTTTGGAATTCTTACAGAAAAAATAACTCAACTATTTCATTTCTCTCAGCAGTCACGAAACACGAAAGGTCAAGAAATTTCTGTACGTTAAAGTCACCCCATGAAAGGGGTGACTTTAACGTACACCCCGTTGCAAAGTTGTGGATTTCAACATGTTAACCTGAAAACATCTTCTTTTGTGTATAATATAATAGAATAATAAGTAGAATATAATAGAATGATAGGTAGAATTGGACGGAAGAAGCTTGATTGACCTTTCTAACCGATGTAAATAGTCGCTATCAAAAGTTTTCAATAAAAAACGCAATGTATGGCCAGTTATTTACCCAGCGATTCATATACAATAGAGTTAATTCTTCTTAATTGGACTGCTGATATTTCATTATTTTTAACTTTCTTCTACTCGAAGAAATTGCTCGATTACTTACAATCTGAATTAACTGCATCTACACAAATTTTCTTCACTCCATTCACGAGAAAAACACTTCATACGCTCAAGGCACAGTGATTGAGCATTGCAAAACCAACACTACTAAAACCTTCAATTATCAACGGAGTCAGTAATAAGAGCAGCTTTGGAAACTTACAAGATAAGACCGGCTCTAATCCTTGAAAATTTGCTCTTTAATTGACGAGCTACTCAATTTGATACCGGGCGATGCGTTTTTGCCGTTTTTCAAGCGATCAGCATTTTAGGTTAAACAACCGCCAAGCCGCAAAATGATATAGAATTATGCAAATAAGTGGTTCACAGTTGCGTACGCAACGCATCGGCGTCTGAATAACAAGACCATTGTAGGAATTTCCGATTGTGTGCTGCGGAATTCATAGAAAAATTTAAAAATAATACTGATACTTTTATGCAAATAAGTAAAAAATTTGTACATAACATTCATTTCATAATAAATAATATATAAATAAGAGCCTGTTGAAAATTAATCAGTTGAATTTGAACAGCGTAGTTATAAATTTCTTGGTTAATAGTAGTAAAAAATGCTTTTCAAATAGACAAAACGGGGCCCTTCAAAAAGAATGCTCTTAATGCTAACTTAGCCAAAAGTCCTAAAATCTACAACATCATCATAAGATATTATTGCCTGCTTCTTTTACCTTCCCTCTTCTCTCCAGACGCCGCTGGGCGCTGTTCCTATAACTCGGGCGCCGGGCCAAGCATACGTTCCATTTAAAGCAAGAATTAATAACCGTATGTCTCGATAAACGATAGGGAGTGGGCTGGTTGCTTGGGTCCACCCAAACAGCCACCATGACGAGGTTGGCCCGACATAGGTGGAGTCCCCCATGCCCGTATCGTGCCATCTAGTGGCCAGATGCAGCCATACATGGTAAGACTGCTTTCTTAGCTAACAGAGATACCTCTGCTCGCAGACGCATTATATAGCTGCTGCTGAGCAGACACATGATTGGTAGGGGAATAGATAGATAAGCTTAGATCATCCGTGGCACGTGCTTTTGAATTGCTGCTAGTGAAGAGAGAAAGACCATTTGGAACGAACGGTCGGTCTTTTATTTTTATTCGTTGTAGTGTGTATCAATCAATGGGCAATTTGGGTTCCATTTGTTACTGTAGTATAAAAAGTGTAGTGCGAAACAAAAACCAAATTACATTGGATGTTATTGTTTACATTACATTATATTTAAATAGAAAAACGAATGAATTACTTACATGCGATGGACACAGAGGCGGAGAAGCTCGTAGCCTTGACGCCCTTAGCGTTCCAGGCGTTGCAGTAGCAGGAGTAGCCGTCGTGGCCGAAGTATTCCTCGACCTGCTCCCTGGTCACCATAAGCTTTGCTTCCACCTGCTGTGTTCCTGAGCTGACATCTTCCACCGTCTGGTCCTTGGAGTCTGGCCATGTTGCGCCATTACACTTGAAGCGCACTGCAACGGAATGCGCTCTCCAAATCAGACATCGATGCTCCTATTGAACAATATATATTTTCTTATTAACATAATTAAGTTCATAGCAATGGATTTGTGAGAGGTTTGTTCGTTATCTGCTGGTTTTTCCATCAATAGAACATGTATCTAGTTAAATTTAAACTACTTTGCCAGTTAATGACAATAGAGAACCATGAGAAGGCGGCACCCAGCTAGAAATGTCGTTACTCTTACAAAACAATAGGCTATATTATTGAAGTGTATTTATAATTCTCTTACAGGATGTGGTAACTATGAAACGGCGAAATATTACGATGCATCCAAAGTTCGTCTGTTCAAAGCTTCGCGGAAATTTTCAAACACAGGTTGCAAGAAATGGACAACAACTGAAAAAAATAAGGAAAAACATCTGATTTTACTTGATAATTCTTGAAACTATTTTTTAATGAATTCTCATGGATTTCTCTCCATGTCAAATTTCTCGTAAGTTCTTTTTGTATAAACAAAGAGATATAACAATTGAATTAGCTTTGCCCAAGTGGTTTGAATTAAAATATTCTCCAACGGTAATAACTCTTCCATCTTCAATTGATTACTTCGATGCGAAACGTCACCTGAAATTAATTGGATGATTAAATTTATGGGAAACTTCACTAAGATCTCGTTGGCATTAAAGACTTAAAATCCTAAATACTATAAAAGAAACCCGCAAGCCCCTAGCATCGATGCCTCCTCGATAACAATGGGCGACGGGATGTCAAATAAATCTTTCTTATAAGAGATGCCAACTTATTAACGAAGAACTCAAGGGATGCTTGGCAGCGACAATCGGCGGCCTACAACATTTTCAACGGAGATATTTTAATGATCTAAGGTAAAAATGCGGGTTTTATAGCTTGGCTTTTGATATTAGAGACTCGTATAAGTGGGGATATTAACGCTGGGGCCGGATAGGAATTGTCGTAAATCATCGAGCTGAGGCTTTAATTAGCTGCATAATAATTGATCGACCATCTGGACCTCCCGCGCCGGCGCTGTCATTCCGACTCTTCGAACGCCGCCAAATATCTCAGCGCGGTGGCCGAGGGCGCTTACTTGTCGCCAAGTCACAGGAAAAATGTTATCGTAAACCTTCAATTATCCATGGAATTAATATCTTCGGGATCTGCTTTCAAGCTAAAAGTGTATATACTCAATAAGATTTCTGAAAAAAGTAAACATCATTACTTTCTTCAACGAAATTTAAAGTTAATTAGTGGACTCGCCTCAAATTATGTTGATTGTGTTTAGCATTATTATACTACATTCAAATTAATATTTTTAAACATTTATAATAATTGGAATCTTATTAAAATTTGTTATTATTAATAAATTAATATTGATAAATTATTATGTTCTTCAAACTAATCGTGTATTGCAAAAAACCCTGTGTGGAAGAGTATCATTTTTAATTACAGAATAGAGGAAATAACTTACCAGAATAAACTCTGGGAGAATGAGAGAACAATGCATGAATATAAATGTACAAAATTGAATGTTATTGAAGGCCTGACCATTTGAGTGGCAATTTTAGGCTCAACCCTGCAGTGTTGGGTTGTAATTACCTGGGGTCAACCCTCCGTCGTGGGTGGCGTTCTTCGAATATTTCTATTGAATTTAATTTTTTTATCAACCTAACAATCATAAAACGGCATTTAATTATCAAGAGGTTTCTCAGACGTATGAATCATGAGCGCTAAGTTTATTTCATGTAATTTATATTAAGTTTAGTCTATGCTGTCGAATATTGCATCGAGATTTCATAGCTTGCTGAGTGCAAACCAGATATAACCTTAAACATTTCCCTTTAGTTCAGTTTCTAGACGAACGTACAGTAATCCCAAAAATGTAATATCATGAAAGTGAATTTGAATAAAATAGTGACCGATTCTTAAATAAAACAAAATATCGATGTTGAATGCAAAATCGAAATTCCATAAATGCAAACTGTAAATCATTTATAAGTGATTTAACATTAGAACTCCAAATATACTAGAACTCCAACAGGTCTCAGCTAATACTTCATAATCCTCTTCAATACGTAAATGTTGAGAAATAATTCAATGATATAAAGAGCTATAAATAATTTCCCTACTTTAAGAGCACTTTATCAATAATGAACAACATTTAGAGCAAGAGTCAGTCAAGCAAAGACCCCATGTAGCCACGTTCAGCCATGGTCGTAGCCACGCTACGGCACCCGGGACGCAGCAGCGGCCAACAAAGCCAGGTTGTGTCACGCCAGTTAGCGCGTGATGGATCGCTGGTCTGGGCCAAGTTACTGAACATTTTTGCGGTCCATAGGAAATTGGTTCGGCTTAATATTGTGCTCGATTGAATATTTTTCAAAGTGCGTGAAAAAAATTCACAGAGTATAGGCAATCTAGGGGGAAATCACGTCATTTATTGAATACCAAGATCAGTAGCTAGTTTTAATTGTAAAATGATTACTACATGTTTTCAAGTTTCATGCTCACATTTCACACCTAAAACTTTGTACTACCATTGAATGCATGCAGAGCCTGACAAACAAGCACCGCATACTAACCCTTGACTGCATACTGATCCCGACACTTTCTTTATGATGTAGGCGTTGGTGGGGTGCAGGGTGAAGTAGGGGCTGTCGGGGGACTTGTTTGCCGACCCGTCCCCCACAAACGGGTCCTTGGGGCCATCTGCAAAACCCGAGACAGGATCAAGTGGTTTCCGTCTGAATGCTGGGATACCCTAATTAAAAATTGAAGCCACATTGCCAAAGGCCGTCAGTTAGACGTGTATATGAAAGCCATTTGTAAATTAAGTAATATTTCATAATGCTAGTACTACACAAGCATGTATTAAATTCCCTTCATGACGTCTGCCTGTACAATTGCTTAAGTATTTTAGAGGAAATATATTTATGTATATTCGTTGAATTATTCAGGATCCAAATTCTTTAGTCTCTTCATGAATGGACTGATTCTCCATACAATATCACAGGTTAAAATAACATACGTAATGATAAGATGTACAGTGTGAGCTGACATGACTTGCTCCATCATTAAAACATGATTTTTGGGCCACGCATTGTTCAGAATTTAACCCTAATTTATCTGCACACGAATCATTGCGGTACATGAAAAATGAACTCTGAATATTCCTGTGATTGATGCAGAATATATTTCCACAATGTCATAGGCACATAATTTTTCTATGCAATGAGTAGCATTTAAAAAATAAATAATGATATAAAATTATAACTCTAGATGACATGCATTTATAATGGAACAAGCAAGAAAATTTCACTTTATATGAAAGGTTTCGTATTAAATTTTGAATATTAATAATCGTGATCGTAATGCAATTTCTGCAAATTACACTCAAAGTCAAAGTGTTGTGATGAAATCTACTAAACAACTTTTCAGTTTCATTCAGAAGACGAAGAAATGCCAGAAACCACAACTGAAGTTTCACAGGAATAATCCACGACTAGCGATGAATTATGTATGATCGCCTTATGTAACAACTGTTATTCAACGTACGAACACTGCACCACTACGTGCAAACAATAATAAACGTACGTTCAAAGGCGTAAAATCCCACTGCGTATAACGTATTAGCGCGGACACCGCCCAGCTACAGACGTGTTGTTGTCAGAGACTGAGAGCTTTTTTTGCATGCACTGTAACGATGCTACGTTTGTAGTGGAGCTGGGCGATAGTTTGTTTACGTAGCTCAGTCGTGTGTGGGGGAAAGGGTATAATGAGTTTTATGTCGCCATACCAACAGCAACATTTCTGGCCTTTGAAATTTGCATCAACAACTTTGCATCAACTGAAATTTGCATCTGATGCTACTTTACATACATATCATTTGCTAATTGAGTTTGATTCAGATTAAATTACAGTATTCGTTAAGCCACCTAATCGTAAGTGACATCATTGCTACAAGTAGATCTCATTGGAGGGAAAATTTTACTGGATAAGCTCTAAGATGCTTAAAACTGATTCAACTTATTTATGAGTAAATTGTGGTAAATAAAATTGGAAGTAGTAGGAGTCAAAACAAAATCTCAAGCAATGTATTATGGCCACAGTGGTGATGGTGACGCTAGCACCGAGTAGCCACGAGGTCTGCATAAGATGTGCGGACTCTGAGCAAACCGGTACTCGATCAGTCCGATCCCTACCGCACAAAAGACCGAATCTGCGATAGGATCTCACATCGAGGCGGACAAGAATGTTGCCCAGTCCATTTGTGCAAGCCCTCATACTGCACTGCCATTGACCGACTCACAGAGGCTTTCACCAGTGAGTAATGTCTTTATGCACCTATGACATGGACACGATCGTTTGTCACAGCACATTATTCACTACATGGCCTGCGACACAGACCGGCTTGCCGTCGCTTTTTTTGTGTGTATTTTTACGGACAAGTTTTTTGCACGCTTTGTGTGTGCTGGTGTTTGCCCAGCTGGAAAATCGTGACTGGAAATTTTGTTTCATGTCATTAAGATATACGAAGTAAAAGGTTTGAAATACGATCAGGTATTTGGAACATTTAATTATTCGAGTATTTCAAAACAATAAACTCACGTCCTTGTTTCAAAAAGTTTAAAATGATGGTTTAATGATGGTTTAAATGATGATGGTTTAAATGATGGACGAGGTTTAAAATGATGCAATTATGCGGACGCAAATGATCATGAGTAACATTAGAAAATAGGAATTTACAAATGTTGACATTTTATATTGACAATAAAGTGAAGCGGAGAAGCTTTTTTATGGGACTTATTGTATATTTTTATGGGACTTATTATATTTTTATGGGACTTAATACAAATTGTGTCAAACGTTTTGCAAGTAACGAAAAAAAAAAACATTTGTATTCGTATGTTATTAGCACACAATTAATGAGCTCGAATCTGACATTTTTTCGAATCGGAAAATAGTTATACAGTAGTTCTCCGAAACGTTCTTATCCAAGATATTATAGTTAATTCGAAAATATCAAAGTCTTGTCAGCATATCACGACCAATAATTTTTTATTACTCGCTCCTTTAAACAATTGGCACGAATTGCTCATATATACCGTGCCTAATTTTTTCTAAATGCTCAACGCCTGAAAAATTCATTAAATATCTCTGTTGCTATTCCTAGTCCTCAATTCATAACTTTATTTTCAAGTCAATGCATGCAAAATGATTCAATTAAATTCTTCCCTGACATAAACTCATATTTGAGTTCAGTTTACAAAAATTTTACGTCGGACTGCTTAGAATCGTGCAGGAAAGAGAAAACTGTTCATTCAGAACGAATCTAATGTTTAGACGGAGCAAAGTGTTATTAAACGATACCTTTCGAACAACCCGCTCTAAAACACGTAAAGATTCGTTAAAATTCTAACTTTGATACAGGTAAGGCGAGATGTTGCCATCGTGGGTACCCGCCTCGGAATCACTTGTTGGGCGATTTGCATGGTACGCGACAATCTTGGTATGGCGGTAATATTCATGGGCGCTGTTGAATTTGAATAGTTTCTCCTAGAAACGGATAATGGATGCAGTGGGAGTTGCTAGACCTTCGAGTTGCGGGTTGCATGCATGAATGACTTCCTAAACTTCGTTGATTTACGCGCAATGCCGGCGAACAACGCCTGGTCTCTGTGATGCCATTAATAGTTTAAAGTGATGTGCTTAGATGCACTTAAACGCTTCAGTTATTAGAATTTCAAGAAAATGGATTCTAATACGCTAAATTCGTTTGAGATACGTAGGCAGAATCGAACATAAGTATTTCAAAGAATAATAAGCAAATTAGACGGATGTTTTGACGTCAATATATCAAGATTGAAGCTCGGAAATCTTTTATAAATTTCGCAGCAGTTGCCGCTCTCTTGTTTACGTTCCTCCAAGAAGAAGAAAAGGAAAGGATCAATAAAAACTGACAGATTAATTCCCTGCTACACCTACGCTTAATTGAAGCCATCGATAATTAATTGCCGTCAGTTTTAATTGCATGGCAGGACACAAGCATGCATAGGGGCCGCTGTGCGGGCGAGTTCACAAACACGCCAAAACAAGTTAAAAATAAATGCTAAGAATAGGGCAAAATCGATCGTCAAATCTCTTAACTTTTGTGAGCATAGTTGAGAAGGAAAGTTGCTTGTGCTAAAACGATGAATAATTTGAGTCCTCGTGGTTATTTAAGAATTTGAAAGCAAAAAAAATACGACCAGAAGCAGTAGATTTGCAGCAGTTTTATCAATTGACACGTAAGCACTCTCATATTATTTTGATTATCTACACAAAAATTCCATTCTCAAATGACCAGTGACTCTTTCAATAAAAACACAAGGTATACACTGTGTGTACAGACAAAATTATAATAATAATTCGAAGCATTTTATTTAATATAATAATAATTCGAAGCATTTTATTTAATATAATAATAATTCGAAGCATTTTATTTAATATAAACACAAACCGTGCAGCCCGTTGTGCAGCAGCTGTGCGTTGGGCTTGAGCCGTCATCGCACAGCATGTGGCGCGTTAAGCCGACTAACAAACAATGAAGGATGACGCAGTAACGCGCTTCAAAAGATCACATCTTGCCGTGACAAAAGAAGCTACGGGCATCAGAATACATTAATGTGAAAGCTCGTGCACATTCTCGCTTGGATCTCATGTGAAAACTGAGAGTCAGCATCCGCGGTCTCGGGAATATTTCATTGAGAATATTTGATGCGATACGGCGTGGTGATTTAATAAAGATAATGCATGAGGTGCTTTTATTTAGCGGTTTTAGGTTATTATTTCACGCTAATTGATTCATTTTAAAGTTTCCTATATAATGAGTCAGGCAAATTTTTTATGTGCAGAAAAATTACGTGCGAATTCTTTTTAAGATCACAGAAGGTGGATCACAGAAGAATTGGATCAGAAAATTTTAATATTATGATCAGAAAATTTCAGTTTGACTGAATTCAATTATTTTTCGATCGTTTTATTGTCAGATATCCCAGCGTCAGCGGCAGGGGTCGCTCGATGCTGGATTACACGTGTCTGGCCACGCTATTAGAGCGGATAAGCGCCAACCTCAGAGAGTTTTATTTGCATTCAACTGCACAAACAATAAAATATCCATGAAATCCGGCCATTGTGACCGTAAAAATAGCAGATGACGCTAATTGTACATAAAAACGTGATACATGATTTTTTTAAAGCGCAACCTAAACATTTTGCAGGAGGAATTCATGTACACAAACGCTATTAGAAAAGAAATTGCGAAAATAACCCATTTCTGTTTTTTCATATATTTTCCAACCCTCATAGATCGAATAAATCTAAACATACATACTACATAATATTAAGTACCTAATTTATATCTTAAACGAGAATGATTATTGATTTAAATTGATCATCTTGGCAATTACAGAACAATAATAATTGCGGCTTGATATTGATTTGTCCATTGAAAATTTCTTAAAGACGTAGCACAATTAAATTAACTGCGATGCCAGATGTCTCTTTCGCTTTACTGTGCAATAATGCATAATGACGACCTAATCTCGTGTAGCGCGACCATCACATAGTTACTTTTATTAATTAATGATGGCCAAATGACGGAGTCAATCGAATAATCACCATGGCGCTAAGAATTCATCGTTGAATTGAACCATACCTTATATTTATTC